CCAATTGCAAAGCCCTGTTCTCCAGACAGTCCATTGCCATTATCAAAACCAACACCATTCTGAAACGTTGGATTGTACATTTGACTAGTAACCTTCCCATCCTGTGAAGGGATAACTGCAATAGAAATATTACATCTGAGACGAGTGAGATCCTCATCACCAACAGCCTCCACGTAGTTAGCTGCTATCTCACTTTGCTTTGCCCGTTCACGAATAAGCATATCTGCTTCTTGAAGTGTCAAGAAACGAACAAGGCGTCCACTCTCATCCAAAATTGGACCATCCATGATGCAAATAAGCTTATCTGCTCCTATAGCTAATGCACAAGCTGTGGCAACTTCATACGTGCTAAAATTTAGAAAAACATGAAGCATTAAGAATCAGGCTTTAATCATCACCAAGTATGGTCAAACGAAAAGAAAATTTAAAACCAACTTTAATTTCCTGAAGGTTAGTTCAAGAACAAACGTACATTTAGTGAAACCAGTTCTGGGAACGTACATGCTCAGAATTGGCAAAACAACTTTCCAAATGTAAGATACAATAAGCCCATCTAAACTGACAACTATTAATTCTAATCAAAGTTTCTTAGTTATCAAATCACAAAGGTACCAATAATAGACATCTTAATAACAATAAAAGACACCCCATCTGGATGAAAGAAAACTAAGTGGGGAAAACAAAGGAGGATGTTGCTTTTTAGCTTAGTTGCCTCAGTAAACATGTAAAACCGGAGTTGAAGAAATAAATATAGAAATTTCTACCCAAGAACTGCCCTCAAGTGTCTGCGCTTTCTCTGCATGTTACTTAAGAATATGCACATTACAAAATGGATACCCGATGATCTTGAGGTTGCAGTCATCTTTATCATCCAAATGCCTATATGTTGAAAAGACATGCTAACAACTGCTAGCCTCAAATCCATACCTAAATTCCTAACCATCTTCAGATATTGCTTGCTTCGGAAAATTCAAACATTTAACTGAAGAATTTACATTCCCTAAAATTATGAAAAGTTGCCAGAAACAATTTTGGGAGGATTTCATGTAGAAGTTTCATTGCAAGTTGGAACAATATGGCCAACTAACAGCGAAAATGTGTGGATGTGTAGTTTGAGAGAGAGATGGAGAGGTAAAAAACCAAGCTGCAGATATGTAATAGCATATACATTTATGAAAAAAATGTGGATCCCTAGATACTTGTAAGATGAACAAATTTAACTGAAGAAAGTAAATGATAAATATCAACCAGGAAGCAAAAACACCCATCAAAGGCTATAAAACATACTTGCAATTTAGAACTTCTCCAGAACTAGAATAACCCAGGTTGCTTAATATAACTATACAACCAGCATCAAGCCTCTCACGCATGCGAACAACATCTACCTTTTTTACCTCACCCGTTGCTCCATAATCAACACCCTCAACAACTCCTCTTCTCTACAAAAGAAATCAACAAGATTCACAGGGGCAGTTAAATGAAATGATTGACCAAGAAACACACGTCCAGCATACAATTCAGCTATTAACTTTTTTCATGAACTGTAACTTTCTTACCTTGGCTGCAAGAAAGTTGCCACTAGCTACACTGACACCAACTTCATGCCAGCGGCTACTATCACCATGGCGACGGACATTGCATATTGAAGGACCTGGAGAAAGTTTTGCCTCCATCATCAAACGAATCCCACCTGCAGCTTCTGTTGCTGCCTTTAGAGATTCATTGTCTGTTATTCTGTACCGGCCGACATACTTAGGCTCATGTCCTGCAATTACATACCTTGTCTAAGTGTCACACCCGTCGTTTAATGTCCCATAAGCTTAACAATAATCTGGAATCAGGTGATGATACTGCCAAAATAGATCACGCCTAAAGGGTGTAATAATTTGGACAAGACTCCAAAATTTCTCAGGCAAACCACGAGTATTTTTATCATAGCTTATTAGAGCTTAGAACATCAAACTGATATAAGATTTGGCAATTCAAGAAATAAACTTGTCTAGAAATATATTCTAAAAATGAACCAAAAAAAAGCTTCCTTCATGAAATCACCTTAAGTTGCATAGTAACTAAAATGGAGAAAAAGCTTAAACTTGCATAAAGACATGCAAAAATGCGTTCCATTTAACTTACGTCTCTCAGTTAAAAGTTTGTCAATTTGCATATGGATTCCTGGAACTATAACAAATTTGATCCCCAGATGATGTAGAAATGCTATATCCTGCATTCGAAGCCCACAAGAGAGTCAAAACCTCAACGAAATTAAAATCAAATTGCTCATGGTAAACAGCACTAAAATTGTCTCCAGAGGAAAGATTTGCCTTCAAAATGGGGTCCAAAAAGGGGCTAGACACAATCTCCCCAGAAATAATGACAACAAAAGTGCACCCTCGGTGCGCCCAGAGGTATGGCCAGGCCTCACGGAACCACCGTACGAACTGCTCATCATCCACCGACTTCCAACTCTTCTCCTCTTTGCCATCCACTTCGTTCATCGCTTTTCGCTTCACTGAATCCCCTCGCATGGGAAGGGGTTCGGGTTTCGACAGAAACTGGTACTTAAATTGGGGTTTTAGCTTTACCACGCCGTTCCCTAAGGCTCGGTTGGATAAAGAGGGTCTGTTTCGCGTGGGATAGAGTTTTGGGTGCAGGTTTTGTATAAGAACGTACTCGCTAAAACAGGAAGTGGACATGGATACCCGGAGAAGTGTCGAATGCAGCGGCTGGTTCTAGCAAACGTTTGGCGGTAGAACAGAGCCAAGGCAACGGCAGCAATTTAACGAGAGATTTTGTACTTGCCACTTTAGGGTTGCATGCAATTTATGGAAAAAGTTAAATATAGTAAAGATTATGATTGAAATACAGTACCGCCGCGTTTATTTTTCATAAAAAATTGTTTTGCTCAATAGGTCGGAATAATATTTTATCTTTATAAAAAAATAATATATGAAGATTTTGTATATTAGTTTTAATTTTTTTAAGAAATTAAAATTTTAATTTTAAATGATTTTTTTATCTAATTAAAATTTAATTTAAAATTTAAAAATTTATCATATTAAATGTTAACAAATGAATTCAAAAATTAATTATATTAAAATATATAATTAATTTTTAAATACATATATTAATATTTAATAAGATAAATTTTTAAATAAATAAAACGATGCTTTTTAAAATTAAAAATTTATTTTTTTAAAGAGTTATGATTGATACAACTCTTCCCATAATATATTCTGTAAAATAAGTGTGTTTAAGTAATAATTTTTTTAAGAGAATAATACATTTCACTTTATTAAATATTAATTTTTACATTTAAAAATAAAAAATTTAATTTAAAATTAAGAAATACAACTTATTCTTCTAATAATATAAAAAGTTTTTCAATGTATCTTTAAAGATACATTAAACATATTATTTTATTATCAATTTGTATAAAAATATAAATATTTAAAATTTAAATTAATTACTCTGGCAATTAAAATCACACAAATGGGGGTATGTTGACTAAATAAAAATTAATTTTTGTATTTTTTATATACTACTACTAAATTCATAAAAAAAAATATATTTATTATCACAAGTTATAAAAACCTTATACTATAAAATAAGATTTTAAAATAAAAACGACACAAATAAATTTTTTTTTAAAAAGGGGGAGTGTATATATATATATATATATATATTTTTTTTTTGCATTTTTATTTATATACATATATATACAAAGGCAAAAGTAGGAGGCGATGGCGGGTCCGTAACAGGATAACTACTTCCTCCGCACCGAGCTCCGACAAAGTTAAATTATGAGATACTCCTATATTATTACATAACATGCACATATGTACTTAAAAATAAGTTAAATATATTGTTGGGAAAAGTAGTCAGTATAAACACTGTCACAATTCAGATTATATGCCCTAAGCACAAATTAAGGAAAATGATTCTGAGAAATGAGTGGCGGTTGTAAGAGGTAAAGGAAATCAAGGGTTGAATTACCTACCTTGAGTAAGGAATCCAGGCAAGGGCTAGCCACAATTTCTCCAGATAGCACCACCACAAAAGTGCTCCCTCTGTGCAGTTGAATATAAGGGTGTGCTTCCCTCAGAACCTCCACGAACCTCCGGTCATCGTCTGAAACATCGTAGTTTTCGCACCCATCAATTCTCACTTCCCCGCCGTCGTCCCACCCACATCCACTCACCCTCCATCTCTTCCCGTTATTTCTCAGACCGTTGACTCCGGAGATATTAGCGCGGTAGCCATAACTGAAGGAACTCGACTTACCCTGATCCCAACTGCAGAATTTGCTCTGATTTTGCAGGAAGATCAAAGGACTTGTTCTGGCCGTGGCCATAGGAGTACTTTGCCTTGATGTACAAGGTCGAAATAGAAACGCGGCTAATCGGTGGTGTTAAAGAGGCAAGTAATGAAAGGCTGAGATAACATACAAAGACAGGTCCAAATAGTGATATGGCATATTTGGCAAGGGATTGGTTCCCACTTTATTTATTAAGTTTTGATTTTTCAAACAGTTTTTTTTTTTTTTTGGTACAGCAGAAATAATCTAAATAACTAAAACAAGGAAAACCACTAACGGAGGAAGCAGACCCCCATCTGATCCCCTTCAAGGATAGTCCATAATCCAAGTGGTGGAGAATCCCAAATATGTAATCCTGGTGAAGCGGAGTGTCCCAGTATTTTTCAAACAGTTTAATTAGAAGATAACTTTTTATTAATTTTTTAATTTAATATAAATTATTTATATTTAATTAGAGGATTTGTTTAATTTATGTTTTAAAAACATAGTTTAAAGATTTATTAACTACACATTTTTATCATAAATTTGTATTTTGGTATTAGTTTCTCGTCTCTGGTAATTACATTGGGTTTTCATTAATTTAAAATTGAGTTTAGCACCTATTTTTCCATTAAAAAAACTTAAACTCAAGATCTTATTTAAGGGGAATCAAATTCCTTTCGCTTAAATAAATAGATTGCTGGTATTATAAATTTGTATTGAAAAAATAAAAATCAACCTTTAATTTACTAATTATCTAATTAAATTTATTAGATATTAAAATTAATATCA